GCTGCCCGGGCCTCACAGCGTCAACACACCGTCGCTGATTAATAAAAAAATGTCAGACGAAGAACCAGCCCCTTCGACAGGGAGGAAAACAACGTTACGGTAATAACCGACCTAAATTCTGTTGTCGGAAACATAATGTTTTGCGTAGCTAGCGGCGTTAGCTAACTGTTATTTATGCTAGCGTCTCTGGTGTTGTGGTCAGTGTCAGCATGAGGTGTACGGCGATAAGTTTGAACCTTTGAACGTTACATCAAGTATTCAAGTTAAACTACTGCTTAACTAACAGATAGCTCGGTTTAAACTATGCTAGTTAACCGCAGCAACCAGGTGAGGGTGGGCTCATCATCACACGAACTGTAGCTGTATTTATACGACCTGTAAGTTAATTAGGCTACCATTTAAAAAGATAATAGCTTGTATGTGAAATCGTGAAGAGGTCATGCTTTTATTATCTACATTAAAGGTTTTGACAGACAGACTTTAACGTTAAAAAGTTAAACATTCATCCTGCCAATGAGAGGACGGTAGGTAACGTTACATTTTAGTGTAACTGTAAGGATTCGGTATTTATTCAGTGTTTTTAATTCACCGAATGTTAAAAATATCAGGTGTCGTTAAAATAAGGAGTTATGCCATCTAAATTATAAATATGCAGGAATGTAACGTTACATTAGGCAATGTGAAATGTGAAAACGACGAGGACAAATGAATTAAAGACTAACCAATATAGAAAGCAATGATATTATTGATAGCCTATAACATTTACAACGCAGACAGGGAGCTAAAGTGTTGCTGAAAATAAAAAACGAATAATTTTTGCATAACTACACGTGAAGCGAACGGTGCGGCGTTTACGTGACTGTAGGAAAATTTAAAAGTCTTCGTAATTGTCCATAGTCACGCATTTGGTTGATGTTTAAAGCTGCATTAACTAACTTCTCCCTCTAATTTTCGGCCTTTAAGGGTGAAGTGAAACTCAAAACAAAGTCAAGCAGTACCTATTTTCCCTCCACTCCTGTTTGCCCCTCCTGCCCTGTCTGTGAACCTAGGTCATAGGTGATAATGATAGATGGAGACAGTTGTGTCAGTGAGGTAGCACAGCAGTAATAACCCTCTCCAGAACTAATGTATACAGAATATAGAGCCCATGGTTTTTGGTGGCATTGCAGCGACACATTGTCAAGTAAAGAGGTTTACATTTTTGTGATATGCATATGTATGTCTAATGTTGTTTGTAGCAGATGTATCTGCAGTAACACAAGCATATTATACAGTAATATTGATACATTACTGATATTCCAGACACTGTCACCTTGTATTCCATGTTACATAGTTGACTGTGAGTTGTATGTGAAATTTCATGTTACACTTTGAAAGATGAAAAACTCACCACTTTTCTAGTTGTGTTGATGGTGCAAATTTGAACAATTTCTCACTAAAATGCTACATAGACTGCAGTGTTATGTTCGACATAAACTGGACCAAAACTGAACAAAAATTGGCACAGTTCCTTCATTTGATAATCCAGGAAAATGCGCTGTTTTCCACAAATTGAACAACAAACCACTAACATCGCAGTCAGTTGGAATGACTTCCAATTACAACCAAAATAATTCACTACAAAGGTACAAAATTGAAACTCTGATGTTAGCTTGCTAATGAAGCTGGCATACTGTATACACATTAGCCAGCTACAGTACTTAGGTGGCTAGGAGGAAGAAAGCCATAGCTGCATCAAATTTCAGTCATTTGGATGCTTATAAAACTGTCCATCTTCGACATGCCAAAGCAATATTAACCCTGGTTTTGCCTCGTTCTTTGTCGCACTCTTTCTGTGCTACAGAACATGGCCTCTTGGGTCTAACAGGTCCACTCCCATCCTGGGTTGTACCTGCACAGGGAACCTCGATGGTCTGTGAAATGAGCTATGCTGGTTTGAAAAACGCGTCTTATAACCTTGAATCAGCAGGAGCGTGGAAGAAGTGCAGTGCAGATTTTAACAACAGTGGCTACAGAGGGCAAGAAACAAACACAAGGCCTGAAGATAGTAGAGTGGGGTGGGGTGGGGGTTAGTAACTTGATTTATCCAAATTTGTGCTAAATCTGATTGATAAGGAAGAAAAGTTATTCATGCTTTCTGATGCTGTTAGTTGGGTTTATAATGTTTCCTTTGTGCTACAGAACTTGACAATAGTATAGTTATCATTATGATCAGCTGAGAAAATATGCAATATGCTGATACTTCACTATTCAGCTCAACTGTGTGAATTATGTGCAAATAAAAGTAGTAGGTATGGTTAAAAATGTGCAGATTAATCCTATAAATATCATAATTTTTATTAGTTTATGGGTGGTATTGGCATTCACCATATGGTCCACCTTCTTCCCAATTGGGCTCAAACGCAGCATGGAAAGCTGTACAATAATTGGAGCTTGTGGAGCCAATCATATAGCTAAGAAAACCTAAGGCCCTCCCACTTGCTCCACCAACCAGTCAGGGTTTGCCAAAGTGTAGTGCAGGTTCCTGTAGTAAAAAAGCACATTGCTTTGACAGAAAGGAGGAAGCTGTTGACCATTTCATTATCAGTTTACACTGCTGAGTTTTATGACATTATGCCAAAACTAAGGTAAGATCCAAAACGATAATGTCCTCCAGTGTTTCCACTGGGAACAATTCTGCTGTTATGATTGTCTTTTATCAAAATGTACACAGAGTTACTGCCAGTATTTCAGTGGGTTGATTGAGAATACTGATGGCAGCTTCAGTGAGATTATGTAAATGCCAAACTATTACTCAAGAGGATGATTATGTCTTTTAGAAATCCGAACCAGACACCGACTACATTTTTGTCCTGTGAGTAACCTTTTGTGAGAAGTGGAGTTTGGCAACAATGATATCTTGCTACTAAATAGCCTATTTTCCTGATGAAAATGGTCACAGGGAACATACTGTTTTCAAAACTATTCATTGCTTTCAGCTTTAGTCAAAGAATACCTATATCTAAAGCTTTTAATGACACATTTGCTACATATGTCGGTATATGGCAACATTCACTCACCAGTTGTTCGGAATAATGATAATCCTTTATTTTAGTGTACTGGAGTGCCTGCTGTTTATTAATGAATGAAAAACTATGATCGGTAGCTTTACATTTGTCACTGCAAGCTGAGGACTGAGCTCTCCCAAAGTTGTACAGAATCATCCGTATGAGCCCAAAAGTTTGTTTTTTTTTGTACGTTTCTGGAGCTTTATTTCCTTATGTGTTGTACCTGTGCTAACCACAGAGGGAAAGTCAGATAAGAGAGCCATTAGTGAGACATGGGATCATCTCTCATCAAGGTTTGAGTCATTTAGTTCAACAAATTAGAGCCAGATGTTTTTCCCTATAACAGCAGATGGTGAGTGGGAGTCTGCATAATACAATATGCTTTTGTGTCTCCACAGAGAAAACACCCTCTTTGGGATGGGAAATCCCTTGCTTGACATTTCAGCTGTTGTGGACAAAGATTTCCTTGACAAGTAAGTGTCAAAATGTGTGCCTGCTGATATCTTGATATATCTGACCTAACTGCACTGACATTATTTTTATCCTTTCCTAAAAGGTTTGGACTGAAATCTAATGACCAGATCCTCGCTGAAGACAAACACAAAGCTTTGTGAGTCAGATTGTCACTAGGACACCCCTTGCTTCAGTAGTGTAATGCAGAGTGTTAAAATTACATGGACCCAAATAAGGACTACACTAGTCATTCATACTTCCTTCTTGACACTATGCTCAAAATAGCCAAGTCATAAATCTGGATCTCTCTATGTGGGAAGCACACAACTTGACACACCCAAATTTTTCCTATAGCAAACTTGTGCCAAACTATACCAAGAATTCTCTGAATTTACTTCTGCTTAAGGCTAAATAGCTTATGGGTTGTGTAACTACAGGCCGTTAGTTTGACAGTAAATAAATTTAACTCTAGCTATTTGTTTTGCTAACCTTGCAGGGTTCCTTTTCCACGAACTCCCTCCTTCACTTTGCAATCTGATGCAGCAGCAGTGCTATAGCCTTCCTCAAAAACATAGTTGTATGTCTCTGAGCACAGCACTTTACCCTTTAGAAATCTACTTAAAGGTAAAAATGAACTGTAAACACAAAGGCTAGCTAAAATTAAAGGAGGGCCCTGCCTTCATTACTAACCACTCTAGTTACTTTCTTTGAAAAAGTACAGTGGGTGTATTTTCAGGGAGGTTGTCTGTGCTAATTATACACCATCTTTAGGTCAGATGATGGTGAGAGGGAGGTGTCGAGTTTTCTCTGTAGATTTGAGGATTAAACTATTTACACATTCATAATGAGTAACATTCCACATTTAGGACATAGAGTGTAAATCTTTATGTGCTAGCCTATTCTAAATGAGTGTGAGAATAATCGATGGCAAAAGACACAAGACTATCTAGGGTTTGAAGCTGCAAACATGTTTTTTCCAAAATTGTTAACAGTGGCTAGCAAAAGCAAAGGGCTGAAAAGTTTTTGAGTGATCTCTTGTTATTCAGGAAGAGGTTTTTTTCAGTTAAATGTAGTAGTTTGTAAGAACATAGGGAAATATTCAAAAATACCTTTTCTGACATTCCTGGATTCAGCTTTGTGCCAGAACTCTTCTCTTTCCTTGGCTCAATTTTTTTGCCAGGTTTCACTAAAATTTAGAGTGATGCTGCTGATTAATAGACAAGACTAGATCGATCCACTGAGCACACTTGCTTTTTTACAGGACTTTATTGCTCCACACTCTGGTACATTCATACCTTGAAGCTGCCCAGACAACTACTCCTATCTGTTGGATGTAAGATAACCACATTCTTATCTGCTGGCCGCTGAGCAGCTCCACTTGAGCGGTTTGGTGTTAAGTACTTTGAGCAAGGGCACCTCTGCAAGTGCTGCTTTTACTTTTCCTAAACCCAAATTCATTCTGCCAGCCTGACGATTGAGTCCATGGCCTTCTTGTCACATTGTGCGTCTTTAAAAGCTACAGTTAGTCATTTTTTAATATTAAAGATATTTTGAACACTACTGAGACTAAAACCAAAAATAAGTAGTTTTTTTTATGTTGCCCCAAAGGCTCAGAATGGCCACAATGTTTTACAATATCTGAAGTAAGCAAGATTCAAGGGCCCATGCAAAAGATCTCTGGATAACAAATATTAGGATCTTGTGTTTCATAATTTAATAACATGTCACTAAGTGCAGCAGTGTGTTTACCTGATATGTTTTAATTGTTGCTGAACTTCAGTGGAGGTCTGTGGCACACACAGGAGCTGAACATCAGTGGAGGTCTGTGGCACACACAGGAATAAGCTGATGCAGGCCTGACGTGCATTAACCATGAGCAGAGGCAAATCATTGCTAGTTTTAGTCTTTGTGCGGGGATTGTTGAAAATACTTTTAAAATAGAAAATCCTTATCCTTTAAACTTTGTGTCAGCAGTGGTGGTCCAGTGCCCAGTACCCAGTAGTTGCATTAACGGACAATTATTATGGCAGGAGCATTCTGGAAAGAACAATACAATGTCAATGTGATGACTGAATGCTGTCTTGTGTGTCAGTTCTACATTTATAAAGCCCTAGAGGAGTGCATATAAAGTATAATGAGAGATCAGTGCATCTGATTATTTGTACCTTCCGTTGTGCTACCTTGTCAGGTCTTGTTACTTGACAAAGGGACACATGTGACCTTGGGCGGTAACAGCGGCACAAAGCAGCATCATCAGCAGTGTTGCTCTCCTGCAGCACAAAGGCAATGGTGTTATCTTTAGCCCGACAGACCCTGTTCTCTCTACATTCTGCACAAGGTCAGGGCAGGATTAACATGTGGCTCTGGCGGTCAATTCCCAGAACAATGCATTTAGGTGCACATCCCTACAGCACCACGCATGGCAGCATAAATGCCATCTCGACCGTCAATGTATATCTGAATGGAAATATGTTTTTTTTTTAAATCACATTATCTATTTATCTTAACAACAGAACAGGTTATAAAAACTTTGGCTTTAGATGCAGAGATATTAGCTGTAGTTTCTATCTTGTTAATATTGTTTGGTGAGTGACACCCAAAGTGTGACAAACAAAGAGTTCATTCACACGATCGTTGGCTCATGGAAGAAGAAGAACTTGGCTGAAGTGTTGTGTCAAATAGCATATTTACTGTAAAGGCCACTGTAGACTTACAAGTCTAGTCAGCTAACACTGTTGTGCTTCTGAATCTACAGAGTGTAACATGATTCATTTTTTCCCATTGCCCTGGTGGGAGAGAGATCATTGGATGCAGTGCACTGTAGCCATGCCTGAATTCAATTATCTATCAGAGCAGAGTCCATATAATCCTGAGAAATTGCCTGCTGCGGAGTACAAACCACCACCAACTGTTAGTGCCGGCTGGGGACTTGATGATGTTTTCTTGAATAAGCCTCATCTGTGACTTTTAATGCCTTTTCATTTAGTTTTGTTTGTGGAAACAGTTGATTGACAGAGTTAACAAGTATGAGTTTTGGATTGCTGGTCAAGATATATGCAAGAACAGGCTTAATGATTAACCAGATGGAACATTGTGGCTGTGGTATGAATGTTAACACTTTGTAATAATTCTTTAGTATATTACTTGTGTGGTGTAGAAGATAATTATCTATGTAGAGATACTGATTGCAAACCAATGATGGTAAGATGATGTCATGGGGTAGGACTGGATAAGTCTGACTTCTTCCTACTCCATTCAAGCATGTACTAGGTATAAGCAAATTGATATTGGATTAGCATTTGTTGGATATGTGTAAAATTATGTGTTGATATATCAACTGTCTTTACATGCTTGAAAGAATAAATAAATCAAATCAAATCAAAACTAGCTATTGAACTTAGCCTCTTGGAAACTGATATTTTTTACTATTTTCTGACATTTTAATGAAGTAGATAATCATCACATAAATATAGAATCTAAATAATTGTTGCCATCCTACATAAGTTTTAATATTTTAATAGGTCATATCAATAATTAAGAGATAAAGAAAATAGTCTTTAGTTGCCGAATGAATGAAAACTAATGCTCTGCTGAGCAAACACCAACTTCCTGGGTGTCCTGGTTGCATAGCGATTGAGACGCACTGTCCACGGTTCGTTTCTGGCCTCGGACGTTTGTTGAATTTCATACCTCTCTTTCCTGTATCAGCTATTTAAAATACAAATGAAAACATTCCCACTAAAGTCACATCATAAATCATGCTGAGTAATTTCAATCACAGCTAAAGTCACATACCACTGACCTCTTCACTTCCTCCTCTATATAAGACAGGTGCTGCTACTCAGTACTTGTATTTTATACAGTGTGGTGGTTGGTGAGTCATGCTGCAGTAAGCATTCTAACCGCTTCTATTTAGATGATATTTACATGGTGGTTAGTTAGCTGCATTTGAAAGGCTGTTTTCGCAGATGCCCTTTTTTCACTGGACACTTGAGGTGTTTTGATCTTGAAGTATGAGACGAAACCAGTTAACCAAAGCGCTGACTGGCTTCCTTTCAGCCTGCTGAGGTATGCTGAATTCAGTGGATGATATTGACAGATGTAATGCTTTAGGTCACTGCTGCCATCATGTGGCTTAGAATATAATAGTCTGATTGCTGTAAAGAAATTTGTAATGGCTTTTTGACATGCAAAAATATGGGGTACAGATTTTCTTTAGCTCAGGTGAAATAAAATTAATGTAAAGTAAAGTTTTGTTTTTCACTATTAGTTTATACAGTTTTATAGTTTGTACAGTTTTGTATTTTATTGTAAACATTTTAAAGTATTTAAGCTGTGAGCTCTTGGTTGTTATTTTATTTCACCTTTTCCCCTTGTCTCTTTAGTGAATTTCTATGGTCAGTATTGAATTGCAGTACCTTAATAAAGTACCTCTAACGTCCAGCAGGGGGCAACAGTAGCCTGCTGTTTCTACCCCAAGGAGTCTCCATAGGAAACAACATGTCAACATAATGAAAACATGCCTCTTTCTGCAGGAGATTATAATGTGGGCAGATAGACATTTTATTTCAGGATAACTAGGCACTACAGGTTGTTTAGAACACATTTCATAATATACCATCTACACCATCCCTCTTCGGCTTGTTAACCGTATCATATTAGAGCTAATGATTATTAGTGTGTGAAATGAGTGAGTCATTGTTACAGTGAGTGTATTGTCACCTCTGAGGGGGGGGAAGTGTGGGGGGGGGGCCTTGTCTCTTTAGTGAATTTCTATGGTCAGTATTGAATTGCAGTACCTTAATAAAGTACCTCTAACGTCCAGCAGGGGGCAACAGTAGCCTGCTGTTTCTACCCCAAGGAGTCTCCATAGGAAACAACATGTCAACATAATGAAAACATGCCTCTTTCTGCAGGAGATTATAATGTGGGCAGATAGACATTTTATTTCAGGATAACTAGGCACTACAGGTTGTTTAGAACACATTTCATAATATACCATCTACACCATCCCTCTTCGGCTTGTTAACCGTATCATATTAGAGCTAATGATTATTAGTGTGTGAAATGAGTGAGTCATTGTTACAGTGAGTGTATTGTCACCTCTGAGGGGGGGGAAGTGTGGGGGGGTCAGCTAGCTCCTGAGTATTAGTCCCA